TGTACATTACCAGCCGCTACTCACGCATGCGGTGCACTCGGCACGCGCCGTAACGATATATTCGCGCTAGGTTGCGCGCATTCCTTTATCCGCAGTACGTCAGCATTCGCGCGCACGATTACGGTCTCAATTCATTACGCGCCGTTGATGTCGCGGTTGAACATACGGGCTGCATTGTCGATGGCGCCTGCATCTGTATTGTAGGATCGTCGATCGAATTCGTTCCATTTTTTTCTATTCAAGGTTGTATTTTCCCCCATTCATCATAGCGATTTCTGGAAGTATATTAGCCCCATGGTCAAAATGCCATTCCTATATGCTTGTCGTGGATTTGAAGATTTATGTGTTGTTGTGGTCGTTACCAGAGTGTATAGTAGAGGGTGTAATTGGTAGCTCGTTCGACCCCAAACTTTTTGCGCTAGATGACATAATGATACACGACAGCCTTTATTCGTAAAAAATATACGGAATTCATTTTGAAAAAGGTCCATCATAACGTATCATAATGTATCCATGTATAACTTGACCTCTGTGTTGTAAAATTTTTACTCCGAAAACAACGAGCTTATCGATGTAGTTCAACAGTGTAACACGTACAATATATATCTATCTATTTATGAGTGTATCTCAAGTAACAATGTTAAAAAGGTACAATAAAATAAATCTAGCTCAATAAGACAAACGAAATAACGAAGCCTTGCAGCGCTTTGTTGCTTACGGCCTCTTACACTGCCATATACATAAAGGCCCACATTACGTGTGTATACTGCTGCTACCTTAGTGGTGCGCGCGCGCCCAAACCACAGTGAGAATTAAATGGATCGTTGGCAAAAGCTCCGCGCCGCCGATTTATAATAATATTACATCGCGATCGGGGCCGTTTTGTTGCACAGCCCAGCGCGCGCGGAGAGAGTTAGTCGGAGCACGATAAGGCTAAATCCCTGTGTTCCAGGGAAATGCCCGAGCTATACCCAGATATTTACATGTATTTTCTGCCTCAGTTCCCGCAGCAGCCGAGATCTATTATTATTCGCTGGAGTACGTAGGCACACACATACACGCGTACACGTAGACAGACTCACTCAGGGTAGCTACGTAGTATAGCGATATTTCGTTGCACAATGGGCGACATAATAGGCACCTTACAATGTGACCACTTGTTCTATTCTCTGGTACTAATGGTACTATCTGGACTTATATTATGTATATCTATCTGGCCAGGGCGCATTATAACTTTTGTTAATTTATATCGTGTCCAGTGCGTTGTGCATTAAGCTAATACACTGATGTGCGCCGCGCACATATGCGCGGTTTATACCGTAATTAGATCCAAGATCACTGCAGCTGTATAGGATCTGCTCTCGTTAATCATTAGACCCATTGTTACTTTGGTTTTTCTATACCTTCGGTTTTTTTCTTATCGTGGAAATTTCGCTCATAAACCATAACTGAAGTTCTAGATTATTTCCTCGATCGATCGTCGAAGATCATGAGAGATTATAGGTGGGACGAATCGCTAACATACATACTAGGTGAGCTTCTGCAAAACAATGCAAAAATTGAGCTTAAATTTACTAATAATGCAAGGAACTTGAAATATGTTTTTCATAAGGCCGGCTACGCAATGTCTCGGCTGTGCTCCATACAAAGTCGTTTATCAGCTTGGAACGCATCTACGCGACACGAGCCCCCGCAACACAAGCACAGCCGGTGGTATATAATATAATTATGTCACTGCGTATTATCGTCTGGTGCTCACGCACCGGATATTTCGCCGTGCTCTTCCGGTTTTAGATAATGTCGTTTGCGTGCGCATCGTACCTTATACATTATACAAATGTACATCATCGATATTTTTGCAGATTTTTCAAAATCTTAAACTGGCCAATTATGCATTTATAGGTGTGAAGTGTGCAAAAAGAGCCACTATAGCATGTATTATATAGCTCTCATTCTCATCAATGACCTCGTCGTTTGAATTCAGAACTCTGCCTTTACCTTATAACACTGTTGACTTCCGTTCATTTTTTTTTTTACTTTCTTTTTCTTGCTGTCGTTTTGTCTGTAACTTTGCTGCTTCGACGCTTGCATGCTTTTCAATTGCAGGAAACACCACCTCTCTTCTTTCGCTCTCTCTCTCTTCTTTCTTTCATTCTGTTTTCCTCTTTCCTTTATATACGTTATATTCGCAGCGCAGCTATACCTTGTCTTACTTATTATTTTTACTCACTGACGCGAGCATTTTTTCGACAGGGCGCGAAAAACTGACTTCACCACGCTCTCGTGCATTTTCCTCTCTCTCTCTCTCTTGCTATATAGTGCAGTGACACGTTAACTCTAGCCTGAAACGACGCTATTTTTCCTCCTTCCCTTCACAATCGTGCGCACAGCTGGTTTGGCAATTTTCATTTTTTTTGCCCTCTTGCTTATACATTTTCGCGCAGTTCGGCCTTTGTTTATGCGATAAAAATATTGTTTTGTGTACGAGCGCGCCGCACACACGACACACTCAATATTAGAATCGCGCGCGATTGTCGAAAACAAAGCGCCCGTGTTCGTACTACGTGCCCCGAGCCAAGCGTAAAATTCAGTCTCTCCCTCTCGGGTCGAAATGATCATGCACGACGTCCAACAGATGCAACTCGGTCAGCTACGCGCTAATGCGTACAAATATACACGCGCACACGCGTGCAGTGTGCGAGCTGGGCAGTTGAGCTCGACGTCGGCGCGGCGGCGAGCTTGTTAACCACTGGCCCCCGATGTCGTCGCAGGATTTATACTTGAGATAAAAGCTCTCTCTCTCTCTCTCCCGTCCCTCCCCACTGCTCCCACATGCATATATGTGTGTGTGAGTGTGTCCAGGGTGAGCTTCCGGCGCAGCCTACTTTTATGACCATCATGACAACCTGTTAAGCCCTATATATAGTATTATTTCCTGTTGAAAACGACTTTATCGAAATCATCGTTCGTTCCTCGCTGTCGCTATTGCGCTTCACATTTCTACCCATCTCTTTTTTCCTCTCTTTCTGTCTCTCTGTGTTTGCCTGTGTCCTGGAAAAGAAAACAGTTCTTTTTTTTGTAAGTTAGATGAATGCGTTCGCTCGCGCAGAGTTTCAATTCAACAGTAGAGAGTCCGAGAGAGTAAGAGCTTAACGAGGTCGCATAAATTATTAACACGAAAGTTTTAGTCTGCGCGAGTAATTTGCGATTTCCATGTTAGAACGTATATATATTATACCGCCAAGAGCATAAGAAAAGTCCCTTTTCCCTCTACCGGCTTATAACGAACTTTTCCGGCTGGATTTTAATTAACATTTATAGAAAAAAAAAATTTGCGAAAATGGAAATGAAAAAAATCCCGAGCGAGGGTGAATTAGTCTTTGTTCATCTCCTCGATAACAAAACAATCCGGAATACAATATGCTCGGGCAGGCGAGGATTACCAACTCGCGTTACCCACAGCGAGCCCCTTAATGTACACAAGAGTTTCACAGCTTCTCAATCGTCATTAAATTTTAAATCGTTTTTCTGCACGCGCACATCCACGTGTGTGTGCGTGTGTACACGTGAGTACCACCCGCGTTTAAGCAGCCGAAGGGCTTACACTACACGGCAGCAGCAGTTTATATATATACATTCGCAAACACACACACACACACACACACATACGTGCATACGTGTATGCTAATGCCCTGGCGAAAAATCACGCACCAATGCAGAAAACAATACTATCTTGATCGAGCGATCGCAATTTTGCCTCCTCGTGTGGGCGGTATTTCTCACCTTCTGCTGCCTAACGATGCGCTTTGTCGATATTATATGTGGCCCCACGGTGTGTGCTCATACTCATGTAGACCCAAGCTATGCTTCTGCGCATCTTTCTGTTTTATGATAAAAATGTTTATTATTTTATTTATTTAAAATTAAACACTCACTTCTCATTTCCAAAATGAGAAAAAAAATGAGAGTGGAATCTTTCAGTTTTTTTTTATTTTTTTAGTTTAGTTTTTCCTATAAAATACGATAAGTCAAAGAGTAATCAGAAAGTTTAATTTTGTTTATCGAATTTTTATATAGCCCTGATAGAATAGCTGAACGTTAATACTGGAACAATTATCAGAAAATGACCATTTAAAATATTTGAAAATACATTATAATGAATTGCGGTTTATATTGGTGAATTTTCTGATTCATTTATCTTAAAAATATCAAGAACATTTTGAATGATCCAAGAATGACACTTTCATTCTTTAAAAAATTTAGATCAACCACTTTGAGCTTGCACCACTAGATGGCGAGTTCCTTTATCTTCAAATGTGCAAGTGGTAAAGTAAAAATAATTGTTTAAGTCAAAGCATAGTCATGGAAGTTCGTTCGTTTGCCTATTGCGATGAGAATTTGTCATCAAATTTAGAGCTTCATACCACACAATCCAAAACTAGATATTTGTCGCCCAAGCTATCAATTTGGCAGATTGAAAGCTAAAAACTTCTGAGTTACGCATACGAATTTAGTTGCCGCGTGTGCAAACGTGTTTATAATTGGATCGACGCCAGTGTAGCGGTGTACTAAGGTTAATTTACATGTCCCAGTACGAACTCAGACCGTCATTCAATCTTGCACTGCTATATTAAGCTACATGCCCGACAATAAACATTGCGCAAACGCGCATATAGGTACACGTAAAAAGTCCTGCTCTACGGCACAGCAGCAAAGTTCACGACTGCGCCACGAATTGTCACAGGATATATCTCTTATGTGTATATTATTAAGCTTGTCCTGTTGTTGTTGTCCCTTTCATTTGCCATGTAAGTGCGTTATAATTACGCCGTCGCGCGCTGCCTGTATATTTTATCCAGCTCAATCTAAAAACGAAAAAAAGGAAATGAGACAATATACTTGTCGAGCAACTTTTGTCATCAAATGTTTTACAGCCTATAATAATTTTCCTCGTCTCGTATATACTTAAATTATATTTTATATATTCTTTTTTGTTTCAGTCGAGATGCCTGATCGTCCTTTTGTGCACAGTTTTTCTATCGCAAATCGCAGCAGCCAAAGAACCCAAAGGTAAGCGCACGAGTATACCCATAAACGAGTACTTATCAATATATTTTTTCTCGCGGGAACGAGGCTTTTATAAAATTCGTATAAGAAAAATCAATCAGGCCTGGGTGCGTCGTGCATTATATATCCATCGTAAAACATGTCAAATATTTTACTCCACGGCTGCCTGCCTGAGAGAGGAGGAAGCTCGCACCGAGCCGCTGCTGCGCGCTTGACGTATAAATTCAGGAAGGCGATGGCCAATTACTCACGTCACGTGTGTGCAGCACCTTCGATGTACTACGGGCGCGCACGCACGCACATAGCAGCTTGGCTATGCGTGTGTGTATCCCCGTATATATATACGCCGGGGTCTCTAATGAGCCAAGCGTGGGTGGGTGGCCGGTTCTTTCTTGCCGCGCGCGTATTCTGCACCTTACACTCCGAGTTTATAGGAGAGAGAGAGAGACGCGCCGAGCAATGCAGCGCTGCACTGCACACGATCGGATCTCTATTATAGACCGGTCGTTCTTTTTTTCTTTTTCAGTCTTCGCTCGAGCTCGGACTGGCAATCAAAGGATGCTACAGTGGCAGAGAGTAGCTGATCGTTGTATTGGCCACTTTGCGCGCATAAATAATTTGCCGCGCACACAGGGCTTAATTGCGTCAATGCGGCGATAGTCTTGATGTTAATTGAGTTTGGAGTATACGTTCGCGTGCTCTAACCTTCTCGACTCGCATATACATACGTGCTACGGCTTTTATCTCAATTTGTTCGATACCGCGCGCCGCATAAGCGTACAAACTTATAAACGTATACGAGGTACATACAAAAGTAGGCAAGTAAAATATTAACGGTACTCTCTATCTCTCTTTCCTATTCTGTCTGTAGACATCTGCGATATGATGCATATTAGAAAACGCCTGTTATACACCGCATATCGCGTATACCATATTCTAATAGCTATAGGAAGAAATCAAGGATTATTCGATCAAAAATGCGCGATTTACAAGTGCTCGATTAGATCGTCTAGCTCCGCTTGGCCTACATTTAAACGTATATCTACGCTGGCCATTCGTATATACTTTCCTCTCTGACTTCTATATGAACGTTTGCCCGGGCATATACAGATGTATATTTAGCGAATGACGTCACGGCGCTTGCCCCCAAAATTTAAACATTGACACGACGCAAAGAGCAAAAACGGTGCAATGAAAAAAAAAAAAAAACAATCTCCTGATGTCTCTTTTCGCTCTATACTAACCCCTTTGACGAAAGTTCACATCTCGAGTCTGTAGTGCCTGTGTGAACTCGTTCGACTTGGCATGAGATCCGCAGAGATCCTCGAAGACGATCTGAAGAAACAAAAAGCACTGAAACTAAAGCAAACCATCTGTAGCCGTAATATATAGACAGCGGCTTTAGAGGCATTTGTCATCGTGGCGCATTGTTGAATATTCTAATGAGCTATTATTTTCCATAAGAATGTATAGTAGCCCGTGCTCACGGTGGTGCTTTGGTGTATACTCTCACGTTGAGAATTTAAACACTGTGTGTGTACCTTCCGCGATCGAGAAGAGGCGAGATGTATATTCTATTCCCGGTGGCAATTCACCCGCGCGCGTGGTTCGAGCAGCGGGAATTTAAATTCGGAGGGGTATTACAGGTGTTTAGATAGTATTTACATAAAAGCTTTTACATGTACGATAGGCGCGAGCGCTATAATTGTTGCATTGTTGAGTTCCGTTGCGCCCGGAGATAGAGAAAGAGAGATGATCTCTCGAGAGAGGCACCAGATCCCCTTTCTCTGTGTATATATTTTGTATTATACAAGCGACGGGTAAAGGTTGTTTCGATAATTAATTTACGAGTTCGCGCTGTTATGTTTTGCCACTCGAGTGAGCTTTTTTTGATGCTCGAGCTGCGCGCGTTAAGATGTAGACAAAAGCTTCCTCTCTTTTCTTGTATATCTTTCACATAGTTTATAGCTTGCCATGCGAGGCCAAGCCTCGTGATCCTAAATTCGAGCTGTGTTATTTCACCCCGTTGCCGAGAAAATAAGGCCCGGCTTTCTCAAGCCATCGGCTTTTCCACGATAAATTTTGAAATTCATTATACCCAAGCGAACGATTGAAAACGTGCGATTATGAATGCCCGCGCGTGCCTCGGCCTGGGCAAAAATTCCAGATCACGAATCATTCAGCTCGTATAATCGTGCGTTATTGCGCTCTCTCTCTCTCTCTCTCTCTCTCTCTCTCTCTCTCGCTCATAGCCTCTTACTACCTCACTGTATCAGCGCGGGGCTTTGTGTGACGAATGTATGCACTTATTATACTATTTAAACTGCGCTCTCCTACATAGCTGGCCCGAGCGGTTCCTAATACGTGTATATAAGCTGCACAGCGAGCTGTATTATTAAAGGCTCGTGATGCTTTGAATTCTCACGCGAAACTGTGTGCTCGCTTTTAATATACCACTGATGCTCTCGAGCACGTGAAAATTCTGCGAGATGAGCAGAGAAAATCCCAGAGTCTCGAGAGCTCTTCAATGATTCTATAAAGAATAATTTCGAATGAATCAACACCGTGTTCGTAATATTTTGTTAATTGGCACGCGAGCTGCACAGCACATTTTCGTGGAAAATATGTGAGTCGCGGATACTGTACTTTACCGGAGATAGACGGAATTAAGGAAAGAAAGAGCCCGAGCGATCTTTCTTTCTTTCTTTTTATATATCTCGTCGTTTATATAAAGTAGGTGTTCGCGGCCTTTTGTCCTCGAACTCCTTGTACGTAAACACGCGACCTCCTCTCTTATAAGCTACATGTCTCCCTCTCGTTGAAAATCGACGGCGCCGCTGCGCGCGGGTGAAGGGCTTCACGCGCGCGGCATGAAAAGAGAGATGTGGGCCGCGCTGCAGCAGTCGTGGGTTAGCGCGAGCGAGCGCCACGAGATTTGCGGTCTGACCCCGTGAGTGTGGGTGCTTTCTAAATCGCGTAGTGGCACACACATATAGACAAACATACATACACTAACTTATACACCGCGCTGATAGTAAGCATTAAAAGACTTTCTATAGCAGCTCGGAGTTATGCTCTCTTTTGTTCCTCGTGACGAAGCCACGCGCGCGAACCCGCGCGCCGATGAAGTTGTTGACTCTGTCTTACGTTGATTCTTTATACAGTATTTTATAATAACGTTCATCGTCGACGGATCAAGTTTTGAAAAACGAAAACGAAGAAAAACATTCATACCAGAGTACAAAAAAAGATCGTGTGCCATGTCGATTTACTCTCCTTTTTTTCCTCTCTTTCTCTCGCGCTCAAGCGCACAATTGCCCAATCTGCTCTTTTCCATGTATAGATAGATAGAGAGAGAGAGAGAGAGACCTACTGCACACTCGCGGAAAGCCTTGATTTGCATCGACGAATTTCGATCGATAGAATATATCACGCGGCCCGGCGACTAGTAGTAGTCGATAGCGATCCACGAACTGCCTGTCTGCTACTCTCTGGCTGTTGCCATGCGCGCGCGCGCTTTGTTCCTTTTTCGTAAGCTCCAATTGCCACTGCGCACTGCTGCCATTCGCGTTGGAAAGGATCGGAAAAGCCTATAATATACAAGCTCGCGATGTTACTCGCAATTTTTTTTTTGCGATCTTTTAAATATTTAGGCTACAAGATAGCTTTGTATTGTCTGCTTGTATTTCGCTTCGTTTTTTTTCACTATATCGAAACTGTGTACACGTATGTCCTCCGAATTAAAATGTCTGATACGAGTTATATGTATATTGTATATATTTGTGTTATCGAATGGCATCGTCGGATCTCCAATCGAGGGTACACACACACACACACACACACACACAAATATATCCGCGTTTTAACTGTTGATTTATTTGAGCTACGTTCCAAAACACTCCTGTGTACAATGCGCACGTAATAAGCCCATTTTGCATCCGCACCCAGGTGAGATAATTTTAGAACGAGAGAAAGATTTTGCGAGGGAGCTAGCTACTACTACCTTATACGTGTGTAGCACCACCGAAAGCTGCTGCTACTTGGTAATTTGAGAATTACGTCACTTTTGGAGGCAAAACACGATTATATACGACGTCGAGAGTGTTTGGACGAAAGACGAAAGTTTAACGCTATTGCGCAATTCCCTAAAATTAGTTGCTTTCCATGACTTTTGTTCATATGCGCCTCTCGAAATTTCAATATATAATATGAACATTTCTTTCTTTCTTTCTTTGGGTATTCGCGAACCAGCCCCGCGTTAGCGGAGAGCGTGCATAGAGGTATATAAGTGGCAGGCAGCCACGCCTATGTGTATACGCGCAGTTAGAACAAAGCCTTCAAACAATCGAAATCTCGTTCACCGTATAAGCACAAAAGGGCGCGCATATACATCCAAAATGAAAATGAAAAAAAAAAGCGAAGAGGAAAATCTTCCTCTTTTCAGCGCTCACTGGCTCTTGTACAGGCAGCCTCGTATCTGTGCAGCAACACCGCGATATTGAGCCGAGAATCGTATATGTATATAGCATATCTAGCGCACAATCGTGGTATAAATTCATGTATATGTAAAGCTTCCGAGTCATGGCATATGTTGCTGTACGCTTGTTCGTACGGCTGTGTGTCGGGCGTATATACGTTCTTGCAGGCTCTACACGCGTGTGTACCTATATCTACAAAAACACGTGAATAGAGCAGCGAGACGAGATAGCTGGTGGCGGTGTCGAGTGTGTAATTGATTGTTTTTGTTTTCCGTGTACGCGCACGCATGCATATTACAACCAGCAAAAACTTGGATTATATTTCCATGTATGCAAACGAATCCTCAAAACACCGCGAACAGAGCTTGCGTACTTCAATTTTCGACGTCGCGATATTAATATAGAGCTCGGAAAGTCGAGATCGATCATACTAATGAAGGATGAAAAAGTTTTAGTATTTAATATTCGAATCCATTTATCATTGATGCATTTCGAAGTTTATGCTAATTAAATCGAAGGTGACGAAAATGAATTTATACAAAGTATATGTCTTCTGTTTCAGGTCTGTGCGCGCTCGATATCAACCAGTCAAACATCATACTCGACATAGAGGAGAGCAGAGGCAACGGTAAGTAAATAACCCATGATTATATCCTTATAAATCCCCTCGCTCGGCAGTAGTAGTACTCGGCAAAGCTGATTAAAGAGGATATTGTCGAGTCATCAAACGTTCAATATATAGTTTCAGGAAATCGACTTTGAATCGAGATTTAATATATCGTGTATGTGCGCGTTAATTTTTAAAGGCTCGACAAGTAAATTGATGAAAAAAAAGGGGGGGGGGGGCCNAGGGGGGGGGGGGGGACCGAAGCAAAGCTCTATATATAGCGCGCTGCACATATAGCGAATGAATCGAAAGTCAAAAGTGCAAAAGTAAAATGGTACAGTAGCCGAGAGTTCGTTGTCTCTCTTTGTCTCTCTTGTTCTCTCTTTTACGACAGAGACTATTCACACGTGCCCAATTTTCCAATAAACGGAGCCCCCGCGCGCGAGCGAGTGAGCCCTGGCTTCACAGACGGACAGGCGGATTTTCATCAAGTAATTGTGCAGTCCACCGATGCGCTGGATGTGTATGAGAGTGCTCTTTTTACTATACGCCCTAAAGATATATCACAGTTTGTTTTCAACCTTTCCCTCTACACGTATAAATAATCCATTTTTTTTAAATTGGTCTCGATTTATATAAATATACAATTTTTTCAACTTTTACCTGGCTGCGCATGAGCTTTGAAACGGCATTAAAATTAAAATATAATAAAATTTGTCTGTGCATTTTTACTCTCATTCGAGTCACGACATAAATCTTCCTCTACCCTTTAACATATTTCAATCGCAGCCAGACGTGGCGAAAAAATCAGTTAATGCCGCATGAAAAATTCCTCCTTTCGCGCCATATAATATCGCCCCTTTATTTCGCTTCTTTTCTCCTCTCCATACTTTACGAGGCTGCATATCATCAAAGTCTGATACATTGTACATGCAAACTTGCAGCGAGCGTACGGCAGAGATACGTCTATGTTGTGTGTGTGTGTGTGTGTGTGTGTGTGTGTGTGTGTGTGTGTGTGTGTGTGTGGCTCTCTGTCTGCACAAGTCGCGTCGCGAAGCCGCGCGAAGCTCTCGGCGCGGGCTCGTGTGATGCAGCACCGATGCATGTGTCAGCTGCACATATGGTACTACACTCTGGAAAAGAGAAAGTGATGACTATGCAACAAAGTCGCGAGATTTTGCCGGATTATAAGCTTGCCCGAATGAATAATTTAATATAATAAAGGACAAGCAGTCCAAGACGCGGAGACATCCATCGCTTACAAGAAACATATATATTTTTCAATCTAAAACCGGTAAGACAAGCAGGTGCAACGGACGAGTTATCATCGTCGTCGTCGCCGCTGTCGTCTGCGACTTTTCACCAACTGGTTTTTCCGATACCAACGAGAAGCTCTGTTATTTCTTCTTTTTTTTTGCTGCCCTTCTGCTGCTGTCTCTCCCACCTCATCTACCTTAGGGCTTTTTTGTTTGTTTAATTTTACGGTACATAATAGCAGATCACGACAATACTGACGCGAGGCTTTAACTGACACTCGTTAGCGCGACATATACGCGCGCGGGCACAGGCGGGTACGCACACAGACTCATTACACTTTTTTTCGCGCACAAATCGCGAGCAGCTCGCTTATATTCCCTTTTTTTCATATACTATATACCGAGCAAATCCTAACGGTTTTAATTGCGTGTAAGTCGACTTTACCGCTTTGACGATTGCGTGTGCAGCAGCTGTGCGTTGTGCCGGCGCGTAAATAGCGGTGAGAGAAAGCATTCAAAATAGCCCGATTGCATTGCGAGGATGATGTCACGCGTGCACACACATATTCCCCTTTCGCTTCGATGAGCTACGAATTTATATATCATATATATACGCGCGATGGGTATTGTTCGCCTCGACGCCGCCACTGCGTTCTTTCGCGTCTCGCTCTTGTGCGCTGCTAGTGCATTTTACGCGGTACCCGACGAGTCGTGTGCCGCCACCTATTTATCCACGAAAACTAGAGAGCCCTAATCAGCGAGTATAATCCCTTCGACTCTACTTATCAATCTCGGCTCTGATTTCATGCGAGCGCACAATTTCAGAAGCCATTACATGCTTTCCCAAAGAGAGATCGGCTCATAATTAGAATCGATATTCGCGCGCGCGTGGCAAACAACAAGCCCCTATAGATACTAGGTATACGTGAGTGCATGCAGCAACAGCAGCAGCACACAACGCTCACAAGTTACCAACAGACTTTATTAGCTCGGATGTCTATCTCTCGGTTGCTGTTGCTGCTGCTGCGAGTGTCGAGGCGTACATAATCTGTATAATGTTATCGTCTAAGTACTCGCGGGAATTAAACTAGATTAGCGCGCGAGCGGTGTACTTCATACATACATACCCTCCTCCCCCCTACTCTTTAATGGCTTGTCATCTCTCACGTGTATTCTATATAATGTTCCATAATAACTGAAGTTCTGACTAACGTGAAATTTTTATTTTTTCTGCAGGAATCGATCAGGAGACCGTGCCAGCCGAGCTGCCGGTGATCGGTGATCCGAGAAACGAGACGATCCTCGAATTAATATCAACTGGACGTCAGCCATTGTTCAGGCTCGAGGGAAAGAAGCTCAGATTGCTCAGGCCGCTCGACAGAGACGAGGAAAATCGATCGCACGTGTTCTTTCAGGTAATTTGATTTTTCTCTCTCTCAATTTTTTTTCATTTTTTATCCCCAGCTTGCTGCTGCTCTGGCTGTCCGTAAGCTCTGCGGTTGCAGTTTCTTGAATTTTCCGCTGCGGCACGAAAAATATATATAATTCCTCTACCAACCCCCCTGTCGAGTGCACACGAGTGTCAGGTGTCTATATATATATCGCTATGAAAAATTGATGAGTGCGGTAAAAATGTCAATATACCCGATGAAATACGCCAAATACGTTTTAAACTCTTCTGAAACATTTATATCGGTTGTGCGATCGCGCGAGCAATAAAAAAATTACCCGAAGAGCTTTTCACTATACGCTGTTGGAAGGATATCTATAATAATTTTTAAAAAAAGTGCATCAGACGAAAACTAAATTAAGCATATATTAGATCATCGCCTAAAAATCCCTTTGGGTAATACGTCGGCTTTGTCTATATCGTGATTTATGCTTATGCCGCACTCCGCGAAGTCAATATGGAGCCGAGGCTGAGTAGTGACCTACATGTATAATACTTGCGCGTACTAGCAGTTAGCGCGCGCCGATATTTCATACCGCGCGAAAGAAATATTGTAATTTTTCACGAATCACTAATGGCCGAGTGCTGTTTGATATATATACTCTCATAAATACGGTGGTACGTATCGTTTCTTCGGCTTGAGCACACGCGCCGCGCCGTGTGCAGCACACGTATACGTATACGTACGTCTCGCAGGAAAGTCTCGACTTGCGGAGCTGTGCGCGATGTAAAAGTTTCAATATTATGTGCGAACACTTTCCATCTTGATAAGCGAATAAAAGAGCGTATATGTGTATACGAGCCGGCGGGTGTATTTCATCGATACCTAGGCTGCTGCTACTGCAGTCATCGACGCAGTAAGACCGCCGCTGCTGCCGAGTATTTATATAAAGTAAAACGAAGACATCTAGCACTGTCAGCTCGTTTTCTGTTTTTCGAGTTATATATGCCTAACTTTTCCTGCCTCGTGCGGATGGAGTACGAAGAAAAAAAAGCCACCGCTGTTAAGAATCGCGATAGTACACAAATTATTCTCGCGCCGCAAGACATTTACAATCGACTTGGGTCATCGCGGCGCGCTGACTTAGGCTTCGATTTGTGCAGTGCGCAAAACCCGTTGAATGCCGAAAGCTCGAGTTTTTTCTTTTTTGTCATTTTTATGTAACGGCTACGTCCGATTGTTGTCGCGAACCACGCGATGCGCAATCAAAAAAAATTATTGCGAACTTACGTATGCAAAGCTCAGCTCACGATAGAGTGTATAATAAACACAGAAGTTCGATTGGGCTTAGGTGGAAAAACATTCGCAATCGATGAGAGCTAGTACGCTCGCTCGTCATTCATTCTCGATTTTGCACGCGCGTCTGCAAGCACGATCGTATACATGTATAGCTGCACTACGCATATGCCTCTGCGTACCTATGTGCATAAAAAATTCTAGCCTTCCTTTCTCTCGGCGACATTTCAACTATTTTTGTTGCCCGCCAACCTTTTGTTAATATCGAGAGTTTCGCAGTGAGCTACGAGCACTGACGGTAGCGAAAAAAAAAAAAAAAAAATAGCACCAAAGAGTAAGAGTAAAAACAGCGAGAGCTAGCTCCAAAGCATTCAAATACCGCGCGCGCGAGCGCGTTGCTTAGCTTCATATGCACGTGCACTAGATTCTTCAAAAATTCACGTGTGTGCAACTGCTAGCGAATAACTTTTGAACAAGCTCATAATTAACTCTCTGTTATTTTTTACACACAGCTGAACTGCACGGTACGAGCGACGGGAAACAATCGTAAAATTCCTGTGATCGTCAGGGTCTCGGATATCAATGACAACGCACCGAAATTCATCAATACGCCCTACTCCACAACGGTATCCGAGGTAAGCATTGTATCGTACAGTACTCACAACGCATAGGGATTGGTGTGGCCTTGACAAATTTTACATCAACCGAATTTTTTTCAAAATTATGATTTGAATGCCGCGTGCGTGGGAACTTTGAATAGTTCGCCAAAAACCTTGCGTATGGTATGCAACTATTCCGCAGCGAGTGGCATTAATACCCTTACAATGTCATCCAGCAAAGCTGATTACTGAAAAATGTCACTCATTTCCCTGCAGCTCACTCCGATTGGCTCGACGATATTCAAAAACGTAGTGGCGGAGGACGCCGACGCCGGCGTTAACGGCCTTGTGGAGTACTCCATAGCGCCTGGCAACGGCGTCGGGGTGGGCAACAGCGACGGGGTCGGTCGCGATCGCGTCACCACCGCCGACGGATACGGCTATTTCAGCATCAATCTGCCTCATCAAGGCCAGGTCACCGTCAATCGTACCCTCGATTACGAGAGGACGCAGCGATATCTCGTCACCATACTGGCATCCGTGAGTATATTTATAGAGCTCAATAAAAACGTTGTGAATTTGAATTTGTAAAGAGCCCGAGGATCCTCCCGAACGATGTACTTCTCTAAAGGGCGAACATACGGCAATGCATAGAGAGCAGAATTAATCCTCCAAAAGGGAAAATACGTATAGATATGCCAGTGCGTTAATTGAAAAACCTTATGATCATTTTAATAGTGGACTTATACGAGACGGTAATTATGCGTAAGCTTAAGCCGCAGTGTCAAATACTGTTGGCTGTATGAAAAAAAAGGAAGCAAAGAACATCTTCTGCACAATGTTCCGCATAATTACTGCGTACGAGCGGAAAAAACTAAATATCACGCCGAGCTGGCTGACCTTTGTAACTGGGAGTGTTTTTGCACTTTTTTAATACTTTCTATATCTATTCCGAGCTATATATGGGGATATTGAACGTGCGTATGTACCCAACTTTGCAATAGGCAATGCATATACGCATAGCACAGCGGTGAGAAAGAAAATTGAGAAAAAATGTTCATTTATGTGGAGCAAGTTAAAAATTAAAAATTGTGTGGGTTTTCCGATAAAAATAAAAGCAAGTTAATATTTTAACCTGCTGTTTTAGTGTACTTGATTGCACTGTGACTTTTATAAATGTAAAACGTTACCACTTGATAATTTACATTCTTTTTTTACACGGCTTTGACGTACCTGCGTCAGTGCCTATTTTTGTCGTTACACTTGTTGCATGGATTCGCGGACGAATGCGCGTTGCATATGCGGATCAATCTTTGCAACAAATGTTTCACAGAATTCATTCAATATTATTTCTCCCCCGCACACAATTCAACTCGAGCTCACGTTGAATTACTCCAATTTGTACCTTCGAACGCGTGCGCCTACGCATGTATCTACTCCATTTGGCACTTTGGTTTAAAAGCTGCGCGCCCCCATCGTAATTGAATCGCTGCACTTTGCTTGAAATTTGCTCCTTCCTCGCGGCTAAAGTACATCCATATACCACGCACAGACCACGTATTTATACGCGCGCGCGCGAAAATTATTTGTTAAACTCGCATGTACTAGTATAAGTACGTATATTCCATTATAATTCATCAACTCGAACTGCTGCTGCTGCTGCTGCTGCTGCTGCTGCTGCTGCTCGGCTCGTCGTTGTCATGGGCGAGAGCACGAAATATTTATTTAGTTAATGTAGATCCCGCGCCTCGCTTACATATACATACACGCGAAAATTCAATTGAATTTTATACAATTACGTAATGCATCGATGGATATACTGCTACGTGCTACAGCACCCGTGTATATACACAAGTAAATATTTCCATCGTTAAACATCGCGCGCGACACGGGAAATATATCCTGCTGCAGCAACTATACTTTCACATTTCACGGAACGAGATCTCTCGGTGACGACAACGTCGTCGACGACGACGACGACGAGTATGCAGTATCATGTGCGCGATAACGACACCCGACTAGCGCCTACAGCACAGAGTGAGATATCGAATATTCCCAGGGTAAATCGGGTAATTTTTTGCGATCTTTCGGCGCTCGAATAATGAATTTTTTCCTGCGATATGTGATTTTATACTTGATTAATCGAGGCCCACGAGTTGTTACGGCTTTAGTTTTAATCTAATGTCTCGATATAGCGAGTATGCAAGTGTGGCGAAAAATTTATATCTTCCGTTTACATCGTCATTCGGTATTGTGTTGTCGCGTGCATTTATCGATCTGTCGCGCGTTGCATTTTTTTTGTCACTGCACACCCATGTAATGATTTATTTAGATTCGTACTGAGAGCATTAAATAATTCAATATTTTTCGTGAGAGCGAGAAAGATAACGCAGATAGACGGATAAGTTGTAACTCTATTTATTTTGAAATATTATGATTGTGTGCGAAAAAAAGATGAAAAAAAAGATCGAGAGCAAACAATATTGCTCTTACAATGATTTATTTAGCTCCGTCGGTTGTTGCGCTACAGAGATATTATCGAATAATTGAAATATGAATTCTTTTTGCAATCCGCGTATATGCAGAGCTGGGATTACGTATTAATACATTCGATGGAAATTTCTCGCGTCAAAGCCCCATGCCGTGCGCGATGCTCCTTTCGAAATTTTCGGATACACATTTTATAATACGAAAAAAATCAAGAGCACACATCTCGCCCGATTAAATTTCAATATATTACTGTTATTTTACGATACCTCTCCTTGGACGCTTATCGATAGCGATTTATCGAGAAAAGCCTCTCCTGCTCTGTTTCTCTCAGTGCCGGAGAGGCCTCGCCTGTAGAATGGTTTAAAGTTTTTTCATACCTATACATATATTTAGCCGTTGTAGCAGCAGCAGGAAAAAAGACAATGCGTAGGCAATGCATGTATAGCGATGCCACGGCCTCGATATCGCAGCCGCACCCTCTCGACGGAGGGATGGAGGGGGATACATAATAATGGACCTAAACGAGGAGTCTACATAGAGAGCCTGCAGCTGCGCGGCTTAATTCCTTATACATGTCTCGACGGCTGATAACACTTGGTGGACACTCGACTCGCATCTTGCCGTACATTGTTATACACCTGTGCAGCGCGTTTCCTGCGCGAGCATATTATATTTCTGCCTGACCCGAAGAAGAGATTCCACAAATCTCGTGGCTCGAAATCGATGCTAGAAGAAACGTTTGTTTACCTTTCGGGACTTTTGCTTTTATAAGCCGCATCAGGAACACATTTTTTTGCGCGGAGCTTTTAAAATACTTTTGATCTTATCGAGATTTTTAATAACTGTGCTGAAAAATTCATTTATTAGAGGGTAGTCGGGGGAGGGCTGGGGGTAAATAGATCGTTCAAGTTTTTCCATCGCAGAGAGCATAAATACGTTGTAGCATGAACTCGTGCGGAAGAAGTTTTCAAACGCTTTCCAGCTCACTAGCAGACTTTATGAATTTTTATGCTCGTGTGTTTGTATATAATACACGCAGAGCTGACTTATAAAACAAGGTTTTTCTCTTTCTCTCTCTCTCTCTCTCTCTCTCTCTCTCTTCGTTTAAACTTTATCTACATTATACAGTTTATACGTGCGTTGCATCGGTATTCGCGCAAGGCAAACTTTTTCTCCTTTTCAATATAAGAATTCATGTTACGGCCTTTCAACGATCGCCCGCTCTTGCGTTATACATAAATACTTGTACCCATTGAAAAGATTTATGCTGTTTTATGTTATCTTATTTGTGTATATACGCAACTCGAGCGCGAGGGGTCATAAAATGAAAATTTAAACATTTTCAGTCTGCTAAACTTCTTTTCCGCGTAGTGTGTAAACTGCGGCGGCTATTACCGCAGTGGTGGCACGTTACGCGAAGGGGTATTTTTTACCCGCGATTTTGAGGGCGAAGCTTTTAACTTTGAAGCACGTCTTAATAGCATTTCCGAAATGCGTTTGTTACACCGCGAGGCTGGAAACTTTTTCACGCTCGGAGTATATCGAGTGCGCGTGGCTGTAACTTGATTCGATCTCAATTACAAGAATATCCGATGCATAATTAGTTCAAGGAGAAAATTCAGCAGTATATGATCCAGCAGTACGGTGCTGCTGCATATTACTCGGACAAAGCGAGTGCACACGTATATAATACTCACCAGAATTTCAACAAGTTGCTTTGACGATGACGCTGCGCATTACTAAATTGTCAAAGTGGAGCTTCCCAGTATTGCAGCCGCGTATAGGTATAAAGGCACTCGTCGAAAGTATATATCCCTGATAGCTGGACCGCCTAAATTGCACGTTTTTGCCAGTAGTGTCTCGCCAGAAAAAAAACTATTCTGGCATGTTCGATAAAAAAATTGAGAGAGAAAAAAAGATTCAATAATGTGTCGCTGCTGTGCTACACACGTGTGGTCTCTTTGGTATTTATTAATAAACTCCCAACCTTGCCCTTTGTAATAAAATAAATCAATGCAGCTGAGCTGAGTGTGCCTCGAAAAACGGGTGGCAGTATTGCGCGCATATTCGAAAATCTCGCGATGTAAATGAAAATGCGTAGCTCTTTCTCTAGCGTATTATATTGTGTTATATTTGTATGTACACGTATTATTACGTACATTAAACATCCCGCTGCGTATGCAATATTTGCTACACGCGCGTATATTTAATTAAATTCCGACGTTTGCAAGAGATATCAATGTTTCGTATAATACACGCGGCAAGGTGCAATAGATATCATCGAAACTAAGTCAAAATGATAAATATTGCCAATTTTCATTCTCGTGAGTGTAGTGCTAGTGCTAGTATAAAGCGGCGGGATAGCTATGACAGAGCCATAAAAGCGGCGTCGGCGAGACTAAATCGAAATGGCCGAGTAACCTGGAATATCATTTTGCCGCTCGCTCGTATTATTATTATATGTAGCGACGCCGCGGAGTAGTGTGCCAGAGAAAAAAGACAAACTGTGCGAAAATATATATCTCATGCATTTAATGAGGTTTTTCCATTATATTTCCTTGTCGTAAAACTTTTGTAGCTACTGGCGCGGGTGTATATTTATAAATAGAACGCGCCGCCGTGCAGCCCTATATACCCGTCGCGCGATACACGAGTTAATCGAAATTTATCTCATCCGGACCAATCGATATTTAATCCAGGAAAATTATTGAATAAATTGTCGAGAATAAAAATCTAATGGTGATTATATTTTCAGGATCGAGCTATAAATCCGGCCGAGCGTTTCACGTCGACGACAACCTTGACCGTGAACATTCGCGATGACGACGATCAGGACCCTTCGTTCATTTATCAAGGCTGCATGCTGCACAATGGAGCTTGCATCAATCCCGAGTACTCGTCCTCGGTAAGTACATTGGATGTTGCTACTGCTGCTGCTTCTGTTGCTACTTGAATTGCCAATATAACTAATTAATTAAGCCTCGGCAATGGGAATAATACGTATGTGTGTGTGTGTGTGTGTGTGTGTCTCTTTGTTGATCTGCAGGTATCGAGTGGAGTTCTCTCAGGCATACTTAACATTGCACCAGAAAAAATTCAAGCCGTCGACATGGACAGTATCAATGCGCCCATACGTTACTCCTTTCTCAGTGGATTCCCGGCAAATTATCGTGAGTTTTTCGAAATCAATCCCAGCACAGGAGCTGTGAATCAGGTGCGAGCGGTTGACACAACAGTCACCAAAAAGTTCGATATAATCATAAAGGTAAATGAAATTTCTATAGTGATTATACTGTTGAAAAAGCTTTAAATTTTATACAGATTTAATGTAAAATCAGCTATTAAATTTAAAGTAACGGAAAGTAACGGATACTAAATTTAATTTCTGGTATTTTTATATTTATTTTCATTGTAAATAAATGTATTAGTGCTATTTTTTAAACATATATTATTTTCATTTTAAAAATAAAAACAAGGTTTATTTCACACTATAATTCAAACATTTTGCTTGAAAATTGACGTTTAATACTCAATAATTTTTGTCTCGAAAAAGTTTTGAAAATTTAATAATAATTAGCGCCAACCTCCATTACTAGATGGCGAGTACCTTTTTTTGTAAATTGGCAAGTGGCAAAGTAAAAATAATCATACAAGTTAAGCATCTAGAAAATATTGCTCTACAATTGCATTCGTTTTAACGATATTATGTTCAACAGTTTATATACAAGAGAATTTCATTGAACTTCTAAAATTCAATAAACATTATTTTTTCAAGGCCACAGAAGTATCGGACGCAGAGCGTTCGGCAACGGCTAAGCTCACAATTACCGTAAAACCAGTCGACAGCAATCCACCGGTCATAAGCGCAACGTCGATCGAAGGATTTGTCGATGAAAACGCCGCAATCGGTACTAAAGTCACCGATACCGCCGGCAATCCTATCGTACTTACAGTATCCGACGCTGATTTAGTAAGTCATGTTTATACATCAATTAATATAGACATTCTCTAGATTTTTCATTAGTACTGATCGCAATGATTAACACGCTTGAAAATGCTTATGCCTAGAGTAAAACCGCTCATCGGAGCTCGATGCAGTCGTTGATTGTAAAAAAGATATTTTTTTCCATTTCGCTCATCATTGGCTCTTTTTACTTCAATCGTTATCTCTTGTTTCCATTCATCTACCGCAGAATATCGAATGGGTTCGCATTTAGAACGTTAAAAGCGTAAAATCAAAGCGAGCACATTTTTTGTGTTATTGTTCCGTCTGAAAAATTATTCTTTTCTTTTTTGACTCAATAGAAGTAGAAAAACAAATATTTGCTCGAGTTAAAATCGTTTAGATAGCATCCTCGAGCGGATGCTTTTTACCACGTGGAAAAAATCTCTGCCTGGCTTAAATGTAACCTTACGATATTACTTTTTCTACTTATTTCTTTTCTTCAGTATCGTTAGTATCGGCAAAAATAGATGTATCGCGTTTTATAGAGTTGAATTCATTTTTTTTTATGATGACGTAGGAAGTTTGATAGAAATTACGATACTCTAAAGAATTTCATCGTCATGACTATGTATCGATTCGACGCTATAATGATCTCATTAATATATATTTTATTGAAGAAAGACATTCGCTAAAGATAGCAAAAAACTGATTTTTTCACTTAACGCATATATTTTTCTTATCTTCACATAAATAACTCCTCTTTGAAGCCTTAATACGACAGATGTGGGGCGGAATGGGAAAAAATATGCACGTGTAATGTAAAATGTTAAAATATTAAAAGTCGTATCATCCGACTAGAAGATAGATTTTTATGACTTCATAAAAAATGTAATATGCACTTTAAATTGAAACTTTTCGCATCAAACGTCTTACGGCAATAAAAAACGTCGACTTATGTTCGCACAGAGCTCGGACGATCCGAAACCCGAGTACACGTTCGAGTTGACAACGCCGTTCTTCACTATCGACCAGTCGACCGGCCAGCTAGTGGTGAACGAGGAGAATCTCGATCGCGATCCGCCGAGCCCGGGGAGCTTTCGTTTTCAAGTGGTCGCGCGCGAGCGCAACGGCGGTCCAGGCGCGGCGGCCTCCTCGCCGTTGTCGTTCGTCGTGCAGCTGAACGACGTGAACGATAACGCCCCGGTGTTGCCGATGCTCCAGCCCATTTCCGTCCAGGCCGGCGAGACGAAGCGTCAAGTCATCAAGGTCGAGGCTACGGACAACGACGCTGGCGTCAACGCCGAGATCACCTATTCTATCTATCACGTGTCCAATAACGGACTGCAGAAGTTCAAGATCGACCCGAAATCCGGCCAGATTGAGTCGACGGGCAAACTCAACGCCGGCGAGCAGTACAGCATAACCGTGCAGGCGACGGACAACGGCGGCCGCTACTCGCAAACGATCGTCGAGGTCAACGTCGTGCCCGGGCCGAACACTCGCTCTCCGGTTTTCCAACAGCACGTCTACGAGGTACAAGTCAGCGAAGGAGCTTCCATCAACTCTACAGTGGCGACTATACAAGTGAGTTCATTTGGTTTTTTCGAAATTCACATTGTACATCGACTAACCTTGGTTTTTGCTACCAACAGGCTATCGACCCGGAAAACGATCCTGTTTCCTACACGATCGTAAGCGGTAATGACTTGCGGCAATTCTCAATCGGTGATAAGTCTGGAATCATCACCGTTATAAGGAAACTCGACCGTGAGGACCTTACGCGTTATCAATTGGTAAATGCAATTTTTCTAATTTATGTTATTCAAAATAACATCAAACATACATTCTGACACACAAAATGATATTTCAAAATTCTTTATTATATTTTCTCGCTTTTTACAGATAATAAAAGCTGAAGATGCGGGTGGTTTGTCAAGCACGTCCACGGTCAACATTAAAGTGACGGACATAAACGACAAAAATCCAGAATTCGTCGGCTTGCCCTACGAATTTAGTGTAAAAGAGGGTGAATCGCGCAAGCTCATTGGTCGAGTTCACGCTGATGATGCCGATGAAGGTATCAATGCAGAAATTACTTACTTTGCTCCGGATGACATACCATTCACTGTCGATCCCGAAACCGGAGAAATTCTTACCAAAGTTGCTCTCGATTACGAACAAAATCATGTGAGTATTAAATATTTCAATATACATTGTACCATTTGTAAAAAAAGGCATCTTTACTCATGCGTAAATGTTTCTACAGGAGTACAAATTTGTCGTCACGGCGAGGGATGGCGCACAAGAGCCGAGATTGGCTACAGCCACAGTTACGGTTCGAGTCATCGACGTTGAAGACGAGGTACCGATATTCCATCAAGCCAGTTACGAAGCCAACGTCAAAGAAAACGTACCGGAATACGTCGTCGTACAAGTTCTGGCTGACGATCCAGACACTAAAAAAGAGGTAACCTACGTTATTAAACAAGGCGATACCGATCTCTTTTCTATTGACGCAAAAACCGGCACAATCAAGACGCGCCGTGGTTTGGACTACGAGCGTGCGGCTCAACACATACTCGTCGTCGGCACCGTCGAAAATACGAGCAAACTTCCTGGCGCCACGACCAAGATCGTCGTGAACGTCCAAGACGTCAACGACATACCGCCAGTTTTCACGATCATTCCAAGGCCCGTCTGGCTAGACGATAACGTTCAGATTGGAGCTACGGTGCTCAATCTCATAGCCACCGATTCCGATGGTACGGCGCCTGGAAATCAAGTTCGATACAGCATCTTGGGTCGTGGTAACGCCGGAAAATACTTCGTCATCGATCCCGACAGCGGTGTTCTGCGTATAAGAGATGATCTTAGAAAAATACCCGACACCGAATTCCAAGTTGATGTGCGAGCCTACGACTTGGGCGATCCGCAATTGTCGTCGGTCGTCACCGTGCCGGTTTACGTACGCCATGTTGCCTCGCCGCAGTCCGAGCAGGCTCTGGGATTTGCCGAGGATTCGTACAATCTTGAGGTGCCTGAAGATGCCACTGCTGGCACTTTGATTAAAACCCTCACGGTCATCAATTCGAGTGGCCGAGATGCTGCGTCTACTCCCCTGGATTGCGAAATTTACGAAGGTAACGAGAACGGATTGTTCAAAGCTAATGTGACGGAAGAGAGAAACTGTGCGTTATGGTTGGAAAAAGGTGAATTGGATTACGAGTCGACCGAAAGTTATCAGATAAAAGTCAGATTGGAAGCCATGGCTGGTATGTTGAAAACTGGCAGAAATGTTACGATGGTAGGTATCTTGATGCTTTCCACAGATGAAGATTTTTTACAGAGTTATTCATTACAATTTTTTCTTCAGGTAAAAATCCAGGTGGTCGATGTGAACGACAACAAACCCGAATTTATTTTCCCTCAAGCTGAGTTGACTCAAAATCGCTTCTTCGCCAAGGTAGCGCAGACGACTCAATTCGATTCCACCATATTGGAGGTCAAAGCCCAAGACAAAGACAATGGACGCTTTGGCAAGCTCGAGTTCTCACTTATTTTCGACAAGGAGAATAGTCGGGCCAATGATTTTTTCGCTATAGATCCAAGCTCGGGTATCGTCAGAACGACGGCTACCTTTGACGCTGTCGAACCGCAAGAGCTGCCTTTCAGGTCAGTTAACTCAAATTTCTTTCCTTTGTTTTGTTTCTGCATGCAGGATTAAACTGCACAGCTGCAAACACGTATACGCGTATTGAGAGTTCAAAGATGTTTATTCGTTCGCAGAAGCTTTCAACTTTTACGGAATGCAGAATCAAAAACTTATGTAAACTACTTTTGCAGATTTATGGTACAAATTCGAGATAATCCAAATTCCACAAACAACTCGTACACAGTCGAAGCTCCTATTATCGTTAATCTGGTCGGTCAGGAGCACTTCTTAGTGCTGACCGTCGAGGATACGAAACCGGAGCAACTGTCCAAGGATAGAGCGAAAATTGCCCGAGTTATAGAGGACAAGACTGGTCTGATTATCGAGATCGACAAGATCGATCTGAGAAAATTGTTGACCCCCAACAATACCATCGAAATTCGTCACTACGACTCGGACGTATGGTTCTACGTGATAGATCCCACGAGTGGAAAGATACTGACAAGGAATAGCACTTTGCTGCAGAAGTAAGTAACTTTTAATGCCTTTTGCTTTCCTTTGGCTACACACGTTCGATTAAAGCTCGTCCAAGGATATTATCCAATTGCTAATCATAGTTAATGGAACGTTAAGTAAGATTTTTTTTCTGTTAAGCCGTTAACGAGGCGCTTCCGATCGTTGCGCAATATCTCTCTGCTAATCAATTGACCAAAATTATATCGATCGAAGTCACGCGTGCTCTGCTGCACTCCCGCACTTTTTAGCAAAAAAATTTTCTGCTCTAACAATTACTGACGTTGTATTAAAAATTGTCTCGTTTCATCTCTAATTTTTTCTTTCCTCCGCTGCTCATATTTCTAACGCCGAAAAAACAAGCCAGCATGTAGCTAATAACTCACGCGCGCTATTACATATAGAAAGCGATAGCTAGTGCAGCTCTCGTTAAAACGAGTTTATCGTTTGGCGTGTTATATGCACGCGCGTACACAGATACACACACGCGCGTTTTATACACCTGTACAAAAGAAATCGGCCTAGAAACTGAAAATATACGTGTGTGCGCGTTCGCACATACACATACAGAAACACACACGTACAGCGACTATTATTACTACCTGCTTGTACCACTATGCTAGTAGTATAGCGGCGCTCGCGTAAACAGTGTATCAGCTTCTTTTCCTCGATACACATCTATACACACTCCGTAAATGGATTTTATATGCACTTGCGCTCTTATAAAACTTTCCAACGCTGATCGAAATATGGGAGTTCACTGATCTGTCTGGGAAATATTATATTAGTCGTGGTCTTCGCATCGGCGAGCTCGCATCGCGTCGTGTCCACGGAGTGCGCGCGGAAAATTGGTATAGAGTGCACAGTGTCCGGTTTTCAGCGCGCAAGAGGTGTTGTACCGTAGTATAAAATCGTGTGTTGCGTTATTGTTGTGAAGTTCGTGTTAACAATACAAGGTTAGCAAAGTAATAATAACAGTACAGTGCTCGTGCAGTCTGCGTCGTTTTGTTCTTGAAATTGGATGTCGGTCGACGCGTTTTTGCCTTTTTTTTTGTTTTATTCTGAATATTTATCCTGAAAATATTTACTACACCATTAAACACGATCCTTTCACTTTTTGCGTAAATCAAAAATATACCCTTCCCAGTATTATTATTTAGGAAAAGCCAATCAACGTAAATGAAAAAATAAAATCCAAACTGCGTGTGCTTGACATTTACAGACAACTATTGGAAAAATCATCAATGTCCAACATAACTTACGACCTGTCGCCGATATTGCGCGCGACTGCCGTCGACATACACGCACCCGTGATGGAGCCCGAACCGCAGCGATCGCACACAGCCATCGCGTTCAGCGGCGAGGTCTTCCCCTACGCTCTCATAGCCATCGCCTTTGTCATCCTGTTTCTCGGCATCGCCGGCATCATCTATATATGCGTCTCGTGGTCTCGGTAAGTTTCACCTAATTCACTCGCTCTACGAAGAGTTTTTGTTACTTTTATAAATTCGATTTATCGCGCACACACGTAGCTGTAATGCGCGTAAGACGTAAAGTTTGTTCTCGTAACTATAACAAATTATGCCTATGTGTCTATTTTTTTGTTTTTTTTTCAAACGCGACAAATAAAAGTTGGCAAAATTGTAAGGAATCGCCAAAAGAAATAACTTTCGTTGCAACGATATCGTAAAAGTCAAAAGTTGTAAGTATGAATATTTCAAGTTTTATTTCATCGTGCGCCGTAACAACCATCGATCACAAATGTAATCTCATTGGAATGGAAAAGTTTCATGCATATGGTAAAATTCTTCATTCCAGTACTAGCATAATTAGTCCGTGATAGAGAAATGCCATAAAGGAGATATCTCATTATTTGGCACGTGTAACGTTTGCGAATTCTAGTTTGAAAAAAAGAGAATCTAGCACACGCGTTGCATAAAGTGATCTTTTCCGTCATGATAAGTAGAAAAGTATCTGTAACTATATTTTACGTAACTATTCAGAAATGTATACAGCTTCGTATTCTCCTATTTTCAAAAGATAATTTCTAAGCGTTGCATCCTCGACCTGTGCTCATACTGCATTAATAATGTATTCCTTCATTACATTAAAGTCCTCATTAAACTGAAAAATTTCAAAGGGTCGATTCGGTATGTTCGGCTCATTTATTCTGGGTAATTATATTCATTTCAAAGCATGTGAAACAGCGCGTATACTTAACACGAGTCCAGGGAGAAAGCATAAATTGCTCAGAGTGTCCGAGTTTGAACAAAAAAAAAACACAAACATCGCGAGCTTGTTAAATTACGCTTATTGGTCTCTGAGATTTTTACGTTATTAGTATTAGTATAAATTAAAAAAACCATAGTCCATCAAACACATTTGTACAATCACAAGTACGTCTTTAAATTACTGTAATTAAAGTAGAGCGAAATTGGATTTCTAAACAGTTATCCAACTCATTGCATTTGGTATCCCTCCGATGTATAACGGGCTCTCTCTCTCTCTCTCTCTCTCTCTCTCTCTCTCTCTCTCTCTCGGAGTGCAATGCTTTTACGAGCAGAATCAATAATTTTCACTTTATCGCACGCTCGTGCTGTCAGGTATAAGGCGTACAAGGAGCGAATGCAGCGCATGTACGTAGTGCCGCGCTACGATCCGGTCTACCACGAGCCGACGAACCTCAAGGAGTACGAGACGCAGGTGCTGCAGATGAGTGTGCCCGTCGACGATAACGACAGTTACAACGATCTGCAGCTCGACTTCAGCAATAAGAACCACGCCTTCAGCCTCGACAACGTCAGCTACATCACCAAGGAGAATGGCGAGAGCACTGGTACGTGTACTTTGTACGATATTGATAATAATAATATAGACGTGTCAGCTGGAGCACGTAATGCACTTGTCGTAACAGGAGTATGTTCTATAAACGCGAAAATTTCTGTCGACCCTCAGGTCAGCAGAGTCCCGTATCGTCGGAAGCCGCCACGACTGCTCGCGCCTCGAGCATCGCCGGTAATCACGACAACGGCAACAACAACGTCGGCGTGCACTCTCTGAGGCGCTCGACCACCCTCGGACGCAACAAGAACAATCAGACCTCGACCTTAAACAATCATCATCATCATCATCACGGCACATTGAACAATCGCGCGGTCGCGCTGAATCACGACACGCCTGTGCTGAATCCGCTGTATGCGCAGCACCATCAGCAGCAACAGCAGCAGCAACAGCAACAGCAGCAGGACCTTATGAGCGTGAGCCCGTCCAACGACAATGTCGTTTTCCGGGAGCGCAAAGATTACACGCATCTCGGCTTTAGTTATCTCGGTGAGCAGAGCCCCGTAGAGACTACGACCGAACTTTAATCAATAACATGTGTTTGTGATGTTTTTTATTTGTTTACCTGATGTGCACGTGCGTGTGTGTGTGCGATGTACAGCTATTATTTACGTATGAATGTCTGCGTGTGAGTGCATGTGACACCCTGATTGATGGCTACATCGACGATCAAGTGATCTAGCGAGACAAACAGAACAAAAAACTGACTCTTTTTGTTTTTTTTCTCGTTTTATTTGAGATTAATATTTAGCCATGAATGACAATGATGAGGAAATTATATGTGTAACACAAAAGTAGAATCATGTATATCAATTTAACATACACTTGTTAATAATTTTATGTCACGTATATCATAAACTATTTTTAAAAAAGTTGTGAAGCGCGTGAAGGAAATATGATATGTATAATGACTAGTATATAAAGCGATTTATCCGTCCGTCCCAAAAATGCAACTCCAATATTTGTAAATGTATACATTTTTGCTTTATAAAGCAACGATTATGATCGGCAAGTATAAAGTTAGCATTATTTTAGTCGGTAGGTGTAACTTATGGATGATCGTTTTGGAAAGTTTACGTTAATTTGTTCTATTTCCACGTAACCATATTGCGAAGATGCATTCGTTAATCAAAAGTATTTACAGATACGCATAATCAAATATATAATTTTTAATTATACGACAAAAGTTTTCATTTTTGAGAGGTTTTAGAGTGATTGAGCGCCAGATATAATGACTGCAATTTACCTATTGTACACTTTTGTACCAACATATTTAGTTCTCGTTCTTTTCGTTTTAGAACTAAAAACTCTGCTATTGTTGAAATAGTCGATTATTTGTTTTTTTTCCAGCGAAAAAAAAAGAAAACTTGCTGGTGTAGCAGTAGGTTGCACCCATTATATCTGGCTCTGAGTAGGCGTAGAACTGAGTATTTTGTCCATAACGAGCATGCACAGAATGCATGCGTATATGTGGACACACCAACTATTCAGTGCGATCGACTGAGTTTGCTTTTTGCACGGTAAACTCAGTTTTCAACTCTTCTGCTGATAAACCGTCCAATGTGTATAAAGTTATTTGATGACGAAATAAAGTAGATAACAGATGGGTGAATGAGTTTGTACATGACATGAGTATGAGTGCATATACTATTAAAAATAATTAGTTTTAAAAAAATGTAATTATTAAAAAAGTTTATTTATATAAAAAAATATATTTACTTTAGATTTTGATTGATTGCGCGCGTCGAATTATTTTAGGTAAAACATGATAAAAATTGTTATTACTATGGTGATAGTATATAATATAAATTATGTATAAATTTATTTGAAAATTGACTATTGTAAATTTTTATGTAATTTAATAGAAGCTGTTTATGTTTATGCGAAAACATAATCGGTTTCGACTCGGAATTCGTGTGACAGTATTAATGTACTGTATTGTATCGTTTATGGTCGAAAAAAGAGGTCAAATTGTAAGAATCAATCGGCCCTGAAGTTACCTCAATTGTAAATTAAAAGACTTCAGTAAAATATTTAAAAGAAATATATAAATAATAATATATTGTTCGATCGTTGAATCTTGAATCTTGAAAAAATTTTATCAAATTTTTTGATTTCAATATTCGTATAAAATATAGTATAATTTTAGTCAGCCTGTTAAATGTAATAATCCCAATAATTAAAATTACTATTATATATATTATTATAATTTTTAATTATGTATATTATTCGTTGTAAAATAGTTTAACGTACTTAATTAAAAAAATGTTTCCACGGACTTTCCTTTTCAATCTTGCGCATTGTATTACCTCTGATAATAACGATAAAATATATCTCATCGTTTCAATTTTATTTCTCTTTTATCAGGGGTTGGCCACGGAAAGTGCCTTTAGTCATATTTTATCGAATACTTATAATTATTCTTAACTTATTGAAAAATGTACTTACGCGTATATATAGAGATAAATTTTTCTACACTGATGTTATACTGCATTTTATGATTTTTACAACTTTACAATTGAACGTATTTATCATGATATAGGTAATAAGGAGTGATGATAATGTATAAAAAATTGTTATATGATATAAAAAAATAAATGCTTTATATTATTACATAAATGCAGTTGAAGTGGCATCATATATAGAATGTTAAGCTAACCCCGATACAACTGATTGTCCAGAATCAATTACGTTCACAGGAAGGAGAGTTGGCAACGCTAGGATCTAATTTCCATCTGACAAGTACTAGCTCTATACATATAGCTAAACCTTTGTACTATATTTGAAGGGTCGATCGAATTTTGATTAAATTTGTTAATTTACTCCATGACCAACGTAGTTCAATATTACAACTGTCTACGCACTAGCATAAAATTATTTGCATAATCGGTCTCGTTGACGGAAGTCATTGATTACTCAGTATACTCGTCTCTGAGTCAAATCTGAAACGCATCTGCAATTCATGATTCGAGACTTTGCACGATAAGATAAGCTCACAGTAGCTCAAACCTCTTTTCGTTATGTAAATAATAATATTTCCGTTTGAGAATCGGTCGAGCCAAGGGTTAACGATATACTACGACCACACGAGCTTTGCCCTCGACCATAGTATAAATGCAGACTTACAGCTAACGCTAACTAGGGTAACCAACTTGCAGTGGATTCGCTCTCAATTTCAAGCCGGTACAGGCAAAGCAGCAGCAGCTGCTGCTGCGTTACACGGATATAGGAGTTCTCGACCGCGCGCGCGTCCGCACGCTGTTTGTTTACGATCAGCCAGGAGTGGTTTTTTAATAAATAGGGAAAAAATTCAATCGAGCTGTTAACGCCGCCTGAAAGGTTCACGAACCCAAACGCAATATTGGATGCAGATTTTACGTACACACTCCGGTAGAGCTCTGGTATAGCTCTGCCGAGGGAATATTTATTCCGGTAAAAAATTCTATATCTGCTCGGAGCGCGCTCGTCGAATCAAACTAACTATGTACCATCGCCTGTCGGATTTTTTTCGCCATTGAAATAAAAAAGAGAGAAAAATAAACAGAGAAATTGTTCTTCTGCCACAGATAAACAGTGTATATGGGTAAGGCTCAGAATTTTTTAAATAAACCTGCGCTCGTATGTCACCGATCTTGACGCGTTTTTGGTATGTTATAGTACATAGTAAAAAGGTCCCAAAAACAAAATTTTAGACCCCCTCCCCCTCCTACCCCCCACTTCCGGTATAAACGTCCATTTTCGATCTCTATTTTTTCTGAGGACATCAAAAAATTAAAAAATCTAAAAAAATTCATAAAAATACTTTTCAACAATCCAAACAACCTTGAATTTTTTTAGATTTTTTGAGTGCTTCAGGCCTTCAGAAAAAATCATTGAAAATTTTGAAAATTCATATACGGCGCTACGATGCAATACAAAGCCCGATCTTTTTTTCCACTTATTTTTGACATCAAAATACATAACCTCAAATTTTTTCAGATTTTTTCAGA